CCATTAAGAAAAACTGTGTGTACAGTGTGTGTGTGTGTGTGTGTGTGTGTGTGTGTGTGTGTGTGTGTGTGTGTGTGTGTAGTGCATGTGTATGCAAGTTCATGTGTGTGGATGTGGGCAAGCATACTACAGTGTACACATAGAGGCTTAAGTCATTTTTCATCTTCTACCTTGTTTGAGATAGGGTGTCTTTTTTTCTTTCTGATGTATGTGGGGCTGGCCCACGGTTTTAGAGATTCTTTATACGAATGCTGGGGTTACAGATGTACTGTTGCATGACAGATCTTTCTTGAGAGATACAATCCACACATCTACTCACTCCAGCTAGGGAATCCACAGTGGACCAAAGTACAGATGCCATCAAAGTCCAACTCATTGAACCAGTGAGTTTTATTGAGGTCACTTACAGGAGTATGGGTTACTTATAGGAGCAGAAATGACCCAAAGACATTTGTATCACCAAAGCCCACTCCACCATGGTGACAGCTCACCAAACTGGAAACCTGAAGCATACTGCACAGCCTGCAGGTGCTCAACAGGATGGGGAGTGTTGTTTCCAGGTTGTTCAGGTGGGCTGAGCCCCTTCCAGGCAGTTCAGCCAGTCTTTATTTCTTCTAGATAGTACAGCTGGTTCTTGCTTCTTCCAAGTGGCTGGGCTGCTTTCAGAGTTGTCTTTGCAGCTTGGCTTTCTGAGAGTGACTCTCAGCATTCTTAATGTTTATATACTCTTGGGGAAGAAGGGGCCTACTGAGTCTGGTCAGTTTCAGGGACTTCCTGAAGCTATTTTGGATTGTTTGCTTCCTGTCTTAATGGGCTTCCCTGCAGAATGAAGTGTTTTAGCCACTATCCCCCAAAACATCCTGTCTTTTTACCTCCTGGTAAACATCACATTCTAGAATATCCTGTGTCTCTTTTTCCCTTTACATCCTATGCCCTAAGAAGTTGCTCCCCAAGCTGGAAGACCAACTTGGAGGGAGCTGCTGCATAGCACCCGTGTCCCGCTGTATGTGGATTATGGAGATTCAGACAGGTCTTGGGACTTGCACAATTAAGCTACCTCCCCTGTCCTGACTTCTGCCTTTGATGCTGAGAGTCCACCTTTCAATGGGATGTCTTTTGTAGATACTGTCTTTTACTCTGACACTTTGGAACACTCTCTGTTTTTTGTATACCGTGGTCAGATTGTGATGTGTGTAGGTCTGTATTTGTTCTAATCTGAAGGTTGTTTCCTCAGCTTTACGTTTTGAAACACTTTTTTTCTGGGGCTCCTTCATGGAGCCCTCATTGAAAGAAAGTTGGAATTTCTCTTTCTAGCTACTCTCATTCATCTTTTTTCCTTTGCTTTGTTTTTGTTTAGTGTTGCTTTTTTCCCATGTGTCCAGGTACTCTTGAAACTTACAGTTTGTTTATTTTTAAAATGATTTTATTTTTTAATTAAAAATTATGTGTCTGTGGTGGGTATGTGCACTTGAGTACAGGTGTCTGTGAAGTTCAGAAGAGGATATTGGATTTCTTAGAGCTATATATGATGGTGAGCTATTCTACATGAGTGCTGGGAACTGAACTAGGTCCTCTGCAAGAGCAGCCAGTGTTCTTAACTGCCAAACTATCTCTCCAGTCTTTATGGTTTTCATTTTTATTAGGTTTGTTAAAAAGATTTTTGTGTGTATATGTGTATGTGCCTGTTTGTGTATGTGTGTGTTCATGACCAGAAGTTGCTGTTAGGTGTCTTCCTCAATTGTTCTTTATGGTTATATTTTATTTATTTTTATGTGGGTGATTAGTATTGAGCTCAGGTGCTCATACTTTCATAGCAAGCACTTTACAGACTGAGACATCTCCCCAACCTAGGTTCTATTCTTTTTTTTTTTTTTTTTGCCTGGTGGTTCATAAAAGTAGCCCTAGCTTCTTGGTCATGTTTTACTACTGGGCATAGTGGCGCATGCCTTTAATCCCAGCACTCAGGAGGCAGAGGCAGGCTGGTCTCTGTGAATTCCAGGCCAGCCTGATCTGAGTTTCTAGTTCCAACTCACCCAGGACTACATAGTGAGACCCTGTTTTAAAAAAATAAAACAAAGCAAACAAACCCAAAACCCAAAAGTAGCAATATTTTTACTTAGCATATCTGTTTTCTGTTCTGCAGTTGATTACCTCTAATGTCTGAAAACTATTGGCTCTGGCTCTTTCCTTATGCTGGCTATTATTTGTGCAGTCTTGATTTTTTCATGCACTATACAGTGGTCTCTGATACAAACCCACATTTGTTAGGACTGTGTCTGCACTTCTTGGAAGACCTGGTTGATTTTTTATGCCCAGGAAGACTGGGGAGTCTCCCTTTCTGGGCCTACTGTATCTTAAGTTGTTGGGGTGTGAGTGTTTCAGGCTTGCTGACTGCATGGGTTCGTGCCAGGCTTGAAAGTGTGTTCTTTTCTGGTTCTCAGCATGTCCTGTGACTGCATCTGTGTCTGCCTGGCTTTTCTTCTGTCTCTCCACGTGAAAGCACTGTAATGGAAGCTCTCAGCTTCTGGAACCTGTCATGGTCTGTACTCACCTCCCACTTTTGACTTGATCATTTCCTACAAGCTCACTGCAATTTTAAAATGAAGTCTTATGACTAAAAAATGTGGGCAGAAGGAAATAGGAGAGGCACTGCAGCTTTTAGGTTCACGTGACTGCGTGTGCCTGTGTCAGAAGGTTGTACATGGAGTTTGTCTAGCCTTCCCTCCAGTGCTGTCTTGAGACCCAAGGCTTTGGCATGCGAGGTAGTGCTCTGCCACTGAATTACACCCCAGCTGTTATCTAGCCTTTCATCTCTGTGTGTGCATGTATGATATCTGTGGAGTACAGGCATGTGCATGTCACGGAGCACACATATGCATGTAAATGTGAGCATATACGTGGCATGGCATACATATGGAGGTCATTGGATAACTTCAGGTGTTGAGATTCAACTTCCATCTTTCTGAGACAGGGTCTCTTGTTTGCTGCTGTGGTTTCCAGGTTAGCCAGCCTGTGAGGGACTCTAGGGATTCTCTAGAGGAAGAGTCCATGATTCCTTTACTGGTGTGTCCTTCGTAGCATGAAAGCTAGCACCACATGATGATGACTACCAATTTGGGGTGAGCTTTGGCCCTCTAGAATCACATTTGCAGCAACTTTGATTTGCCATTCCTTTTCAGGAGCAGAACATTCCTTAGGCTTTTTTCTTTCACACCCAGAAGCGTATCTGAGTGGAGTCTTTCCCTGAGAATACCCTTGTACCTGGAGTTTTCCTGCCTGGCCCATGGTCAGGACAAATCTCTCTCACCCGCCAGTCCCACAGCCACTCAGACCCAACCAAGTAAACACACAGAGACTTATAAAGCTTACAAACTGTATGGCCAGTTTGTGGCAGACTTCTTGCTATCTAGTTCTTCTATCTTAAATTAACCCATTTCTATTAATCTATACCTTGCCACGTGGCTCGTGGCTTACTGGTATCTTACATCTCGTTTTTCATGGTGGTGACTGGCAGCGTCTCTCTGACCCAGCCTTCCACTTCCCAAAATTCTCTTCTCTCCTTGTCCTGCCTATACTTCCTGTCTGGCTACTGACCAATCAGTGTTTTATTTATTAACCAATCAGAGCAACACATTTAACATACAGAACATCCCACAGCATACCCTTCCCTTTATTCCAGTGTGATTCAGGATTTTTCTTAATTTTCTTACCTCTTTCAGCACAAGCATTGGTTCCAACATTACATTTCCTGGTTGTTCTTTTTCTCTTCAAACTGTGCATTTTTATTTCTTTTTGCCTTGCTTGCTCTTTCTCATTGTAGACCTGCATAAGAGTGATTATATAATAAGCATGAGACAGAGTTGATAATAGGCTGCCTTGAAATCTCCTCTGCTAAAGAAATTAGTCCATTACTTTTCAGTTTAGCCTCAGCCAAGTTCTTAGGATGAGAGTAGAAAGCAGCCACATTTTTGCCCAAAATATCACAAGAATGTTCTCTAGCCTTGTTGCTAATATTGTTCCCCTGTGAAACCCCCTGAGCTGGACCTCCGTAATCCTTGTTGCATTTAGCGCTGTCTTCCAAGCTCCTGCTAGGATGACTCATTAAACTCTGCTTATGATGTTCAACCATTTTTCTACCCCGAAGTTTGAAACTTTGAGCTTTGAGCCTTCCACATCCTCCAAACCCAGATAGTTAAATGTCACTGCAAATAGTCCACTCCCTGGTATTAACTTCTGTTAGTTACTTTTCTGTTGCTGTGATAAGACACCATGAACAAGGCAACTTACAAAAGGAATTTGGGTCTTATGGTCCAGGAGGGATAAGAGTGTCGCCATCAAGGTGGGGAGCATGGCAGCAGCAGCAGGCAGGCATGGCAAAGGAGCCCCAACTAAGAGTTTACATCTCAACCCACAAACAGGAAGTAGAGAGCACACTGGGAATGGCACAAGTCTTTTGAAACCTCAAAGCCTGCTCCCAGTGACACTTCCTCCAACAAGGCCACACCTCCTAATCCTTCCCAGATAGTTCTATCAAATGGGGACCAGGTATTCAAACATAGGAGCCTGTGAACCATTCCCATTCAGACCACCATGCATTCCTTGGATAAGAACTATGAATAGACTTTAGATGGCTTCACTGAACCTCTAGAACACAGTACACATATAAACTGAGAAGTTGCCTGAATATAAATACAGGCTTGGTACTACAAGGGCTAAAACATTGGTAAATAGGGTTGTGAGGTTTCCCATGAGACTCTTCTGCCTGTGGTTCTATACACAGAAGATAGTGTCACAATGTTATTGCTAAAGCTTCCCCTGATGTTATGGCCTTCTGCAGATAAAAACCATTAAACATGTCTTCCACATTGTAATTGTTCTACCTGTATGCTATAGTTGGTCATCTGAGATGTAAATATGTCCTTCAGAGTAGGGCATGAATTCAAGGGGAAATACTATGTGGGTAGCCCAGCAAGTCAACACTGTATTCTTTTTCATTTCAGTCTAATGCTGATGTCCCTGTACAATGTGAGCATCAATTCAAAAGGCTTGAAATACATCAGTGAGAGTCCTGGATTTATCCCTTTGCTGCGATGGCTTTTAAGTGGTAAGGAGTGTTCAGCTATGTTCTTGTATAGTCATATGCTCTACCTCCACAGCTGGAGGAGGTATTGGTGTATTAGAAATCAGGAGCCATTATCTTACAGTGTTTACTATTTAAAATGGCTTTTCTCTTTTGTTGGAGTGGCTTCTAGAGATGGAAGAGGATACTCTTCATGGTTGGCAACTTTCAAGCTTTGGTACCCTCAGACATTGGGTTCTCAAAGCCTGTCCCTGCTTTGTGATTTCCTACTCTAGAAAGCCAGTTGACATGTTAGTGGTTCCTAGTTATGTTTCTCACCTTTTGGTTTTAGTTTTAATTGTGACCTTTGACACAAAGATCATTTTATGAATCAGCACCAACCTGCTCCTTCTCTAAAAACAGATTAGTAGATATGTGGTGGACATGGAAGGAAAAGTCCAGAAGTCTGGGCAAAATGAAATGGGAGACACATGAAGTTGCATATGGATGTAACTTCAAAGTTGTAAATAAAGTAAAACTTTTCTTATTGCTTCCTTTCTTGTTTACCTTTACCACTAATTTAGCCCAAAATCTTGTCCCAATTTCTTCATAATCATAAAGCCTAAAAAGTATACCTGTCATTCAAATATTCAAATGACAAAAAATGGAATTTTCATTTTTTCACAATTCAAATTAATGTTTTTGAACTTTAATTACTCTTGGTATGAATATATTTTTTCTAACAGTTCTATTGAGATCCAATAATTGTATATATCTTAAATGAAAAATTGATCATTTGAGTATAAATATCTACCTTACCATAGTCAAGGTAACAAAAGCATCATCCCACAAGGCACGTTCCCCTCTCTCCCACCTGCCCCTGACTTTCCAGAGAGCCTCTTTTCTACATTGTAGTTTAGTTTCTATTTCTTTTTCTTTTGTTTATTTTTTTTTCAAGACAGGGTTTCTCTCTGTAATAGCCCTGACTGTCCTGGAACTCACTTCATAGACCAGGCTGGCCTTGAACTCACAGAGATCCACCTGCCTCTGCCTCCTGAGTGCTAGGATTAAAGGCATGCACTACCGTCGCCCAGTTTAGTTTCTATTTTCTATAGTGATTGTTGTATCTTACTAGTTCATTGCTTCCTGTTACACACTGTTCAGTTATGTAGATGAACCTTTTGGGTTGTTTATACAGCTTTGACATGTTACAGACATAGATGCTGGAGTCTTCTTTGTGCATGGAGATGTGCTGGCATTTCTTTTGGGTGGATCCTAGGCACAGAGTGGCTGGGTCAGATGGAAGAGGCATATTCATGTTTTTAAACTGTCAACTGCTCTGCCATTCACATCCCCACCAGAGGTATAGTATCAGCTGCTTGTCCTCACAGTTCTTGGTCTGCTCATACTGTTTAGGTTTAGATATCCAATAACAATGTCTTGGTACCTCATTGTTTCATTATTACTAATAGTGTTTGAATGAAACAAAGAAATAAAAAGGAGGGAGGCTGGAGAGATGGCTCAGAGCACTGACTGCTCTTCCAAAGATCCTGAGTTCAATTCCCAGCAACCACATGGTGGTTCACAACCATCTATAACGAGGTCTGGTGCCCTTTTCTGGCCTGCAAGGATACATGCAGGCAGACTACTGTATACGTAATAAATAAATAAATCTTAAAAAAAAAAAGAATAAAAAGGAGGATATAACTGCTCCTAGGTATGGTAGAGGCAAAGATTTATTGTAGATATGAGGAAGAGCATTGCCAGAGGCAGAGACATCTGGGAGAGGCCAGAATGACCATGACCTTGAGCCATGTGACGAGATGTGGGAGGGGAGAGCCAGGAGACCAAGAGGCCAAAGGCCAAAAGAGTGAAAAAAATAAAAATAAAAAATAGATAAATAAATAAATAAAGGCTAGCGCAGCCAAAATGGCTGGATTGTATAGGGAAAAGCAGCTGGGGGAAGGGAAGGGTAGGGTAGGGTGCAGGGCATATCAGCCAGGACCCTATAACAGGTAGGGACTGAGGGATGCTGGGGAAACCTGGTAGCCAGGGTCTACTTTGATATGTTAAATAGGCACCTCAGCCATTTGTTCCAGGTTTAAGACCTAATAGTATTGAACATCTTTTCATGTGTTTCGAATCAATCTTGATGGTGTTGTCATCTTAAGAAGCATAAATCCTCAAGGGCTGGAGATGGCTCAGTGGTTAAGAACACTGGCTGCTTTTCCAGAGGACCTGGATTCAATTCCCAGCACCCACATGGCAGCTTACAACTGTCTGCCATTCCATTTCCTGGGGATCCAACATCCTCACACAGACATGTAGGCAGACAAAATACCAGTGTGTATAAAATAAAAATAAATAAATCATTAAAAATTCTTTTTTAAAAAGAAGCATAATGGCCGGGCAGTGGTGGCACACGCCTTTAATCCCAGCACTCGGGAGGCAGAGCCAGGCGGATCTCTGTGTGTTCGAGGCCAGCCTGGTCTCCAAAGCGAGTTCCAGGAAAGGCGCAAAGCTACACAGAGAAACCCTGTCTCGAAAAACCAAAAAAAAAAAAAAAAAAAAAAAAAAAGGAAGAAGCATAAATCCTCTAACTAGATTCCTTTTTTCCAAGTTGTTTTGGCTGTTTCTAAGGCTGTTACCATGAATTTGAGAATAAATGTGTCACTTAATACTAAAAAGAAACCCTTTTAGAAATTTTATTGGGAGTCTGTTGAATCAGTAGTTTATTTAGGGGAGATTCGACATATTAGCAATATTAAGTCTTCTAAGCCAGTAGCCCAGATGTGTAGGGAATTCTCCTGTGTCTGTATGTCCTAGGGACAGGGTGAACTGACCTCATTGGCTTCTGGCTATCATTTGAGGGATGTGTGTAGAGTGAACATCCTTGCAGTGGGTGTAGAGGTATTCTCTCCCTCCAGAGCAGAATGTGATTGGCACCTTTGTAATGAAGATATTTAACTCCAGGGCACAGGCCAGGCATGCTACTATCCATGTGAAGAGATGTGGATTCTCTGAGCCTGGGGTCCCTGTACTGAGATGTAGTCTATGTCATGTGCATAGTCTGTGGCATTGGATCATGAACCAGCTCAAACATGGGTAACTCTGGCTGTAGCTATGACTAAGAAGTTTTTTCTCAGACAGCAGTGTATTGACTATCAGCATCCTTCAAAATATAGCATATAGCTTGTCAACCTCCAAGTAGGGTGAAACCCTAGACTTCCACAGCTTAAGGTCTAGTTAGGGAGCTTTAGAGCCACATGCCCCAGGCCTGGATACTCAACTAAACAGCTTGTTTTCTGTTGAGAATACATCATGAAACCAGGTGATTCCTGGCCTTAGTGTCTGTGTGCAGGTCCACAGTACTAGCCTATAGGGCTAGGGGAGATGGTTAGGGAGAAGAGAATTGAAGAGGAAGTCCCAACTGAGCAGCAGCTGCTGCTGCTCTACACAGACCACATATGTACTGATTATTGTTGTCAGTCTCCTGTAAGGCAAGGCATTGCTGCCTGTTTCTCAGGCAAGGAGGCCAAGTGCCTTGCTGGAGGTTAGAGCTGTGTGGCAGTGGAGCTGGGTTTGAGCCCTGATTGCCTGCTGCATGGCCCTGTCCCTTACCCTAGCTGCTCTGTAGGCACTAGTCAGGGCCATAAACCTCCATTCTGGAGATGGCCTGCTTTAGTAGCCACTGGAACTGGCTTTGCTTGGTTTTGCAGAGACTTTTGCTCTCAATCAGTATGCCTGGCTCTGTTTAATCCAGTTTGCACCAGTGACCCTCCAGCAGCCTTTGTGATTTGTTTGCTTGTTCATGAAGGAAGAGATGAAGCTAAGTGTTCTCTGATGCCCTAGCTGTGCTAATTCGGAGTGTTGGTGGGGTGAGTGAGAATCTCAGCACTTCAGCTGAGTTTCTGCTTCTCTCTTGGGTGTTCTCTGACGCCGGTAGACTTCCTGCCTTGACTTTGGGTCATGGACAAAATGGGGGTGGTTCCCAAGGTATCTTAATATACCACTTTGCTACTGGGGCTTCCCAGGATTTCTTGTCCTTGAAGACAGTTCCTGTTCTTTGAACACAGCAAGCACACCCAGATCCTGGGATCTATTGCAAGCTCATCTCACTTGATGGCTTTCAAACAAAACATGCTGGACTCAAGTCCCAGATACTTAACCTCTGAGTTATGTATGTCTATTTTATGTCACTTTAATTTTAAATGCTTTAGAATTTAATGTGTGTTGTAAGTTTGTTTTTGTTGCTGCCAGTACTGCAACCTGGGGCTGCAGGTGTGCTCAGCAAGTCTGCTACTGAGCTGCTTCCCCAGCCCTGCCCTGAAGTGTAGGAAGCTGAGAATGTGTATTATCATGAAGTAGAGAAACAGAAGCACACTGGCTGCCTGGGAAACTGCACTGCTTGTGTATGGTGAGTGTGCTGTTGCTCTCAGGACCTGACCCTGTGACCTTGTGCCAGGAAAGAATTTGAAGACTGGCTGCCTATACTCTTTTGTCATTAAGTAGATCCAATTTGTGAAAATGTACTCGATTTTAAGATTCTAATAATTTTTGAAAGGTCTGAAGCAAAGAACTTGCTAACTCAGAAATCAGTTCCTGCATTATCATATAATCCCATTACGGCGCTTGATGAGTTTAAAGAGAGCAGCTTTAGACTCACTACACAGATGTGAATTGAAGCTTTTGTACTGGTTAACTGATCTAATCTGCTAGAACTTCACTTCTCTGATCTCTGCAGTGGGGTCCACCTCAGGGTCTTACCCCTAATACAGCAGGTGGCGGCTCTCCCTCCTGTGTCTGATCTAAGGAGCCTGTGGAAACTTGTTTCCCTTTACTTTGCTTGACTTAAGCAAGTCACTTCTGAGTTGTCAGACCCTCTGCTTCAGAGAACAGTTGCTGCTGTGCTTATCTCTGGGAAGCTCATCTCGTTCCCTCTAACCTTTGCTGGATTTTGTTTCCTTTCATTTGTTCATCTACGTGGCTGCCTTTTTCCCAGGCTGGGTCCAAATTCTTCACATTCCTCTTAAGCCACAGAACTG